TCATCTTCTTCTTCTATAATAGAAGGACAAGACGTCGAACCGACTGATGCGGCTTCTTGAAGAAGCTTTTGAAAATCAGCTTCCGAAGTTGTCTGGGCTAAAGCGGCGAGTAGCCTCGACTTTGAATTAAGGAATTCGGAGGTCTTCTTCTTGGATAAATCCTGAAGGTGGCCATTCTCAGATAGCCAGACCTTTACCGCTTTGATGTCTGCGTGGGTATAAGTATATTTATCCCACCATTTGATTTTGATAGTTTTGAAGACCTGTTTTATTTGGTCTTCGGTCTCTTTAATTTGAAAATTCCAATCGCGACTCGGAATATGAGTAATTTCGACGGATTTTGTGTCGACTAGAATGAATTCATAAAACCTTCTGGTTTTATGAAGATCTTCTGGGATATAAAAGAATCCCGATGGATATACTTTTTTAATGACTTCGCCGATTTTCGGTTCATCGTATTCTGGTTCTACCAGAGCTTCTGGTATGGACACAGATTTTTGAAAATAGGTTTTGATTTCAGGAACTGGAGAAAAACGAACGGGAACAACCGCGTCCGAGTAGGTCGAGGGGACAGAAGGTCCCTTTGAAGTGGAAGAGACAGTGGGTCTTGATGGAGTAACGGCAGATGGCCGTGTTGAAGAGGCTGAAGGCCTCGTCGGAGGGATAACCTCCGCCTGTTTTTGAGAAAGCTTTGCTTTAGATCTGGTCACCAATGTGAAACCAGCATCCATTGCATAGCTGTCGGATGTCATTGGAGTAAGTGTGCTTGAAGAAGCATTGGGCTTCTTCCCTTTGTCTATCGCTTTCTTTCCGGTCATTGCTGGGAGATAGATTGGTTAGGGAGAATGGAGAATTTTTCTTTTGAGAGTAAGAACTCTCTTGAGAGGTAATCTGCCAAGGAGTTTTCGATCCCTTTTATAGCAAAATTTGAAAGTCAAAGCAAGATAAAATGGCTTGCCATCTAGCAAAAATTTATTTAGACACAAGATTTTTGACATCTTTTTCTAAAACAAATTTAGATGCTCTTGAGTCGGTTTTGATAACAAAACTTTTGTTAATTAAATCACTTTGAAATTTTTGTACACAAAGTACTATTGAAAGTATTTCTTTCTTTACCGTTGAATAATTTTTTCGAGTAGAATTCCATATTCTTGAATGGAAATTGACAATGGATTCTTTCTTGTCAAGGGACTGTTTTAGGATTCCTCCATATCCAATATCGGATGCGTCGGTCTCCACTATTAAACTAGCCCTTGGGTTTATCAGCGATAAACACGGAATTGACTTGACAAG